CATTTTTCTCGCCACAAAAAAACGTAATACAATTATTTTGGTACGACAGTTCATGTTCTTTTCATATTTTCTTGTTCTTTTTCAGTCACTGTAAAATGACATTGTCCTCTGTAACATGTTATGTAATTATAATGAGTATACCTTGAGGCCGGAGGCCGGAGGCCTACAGTATTATGAATAAATTTATAGTAAAATATAATATTATTATCACCTAGACTAATTTTAGAAATCCACTGATGTTCAGAAGAAGTTGTTTGTTATATTATTTACTGTAAATGCATTTTTAAATATTCACTGGTTTTTAATTTCACTAGTTTCACTGATAAGTAAAATTCGCTAAATTAAATTTATGTCAACATGTGAAATAACAATAAAACTCATTGTGTACCTGCACAGTTTGTGAACTCAAAACCCAGTGAAATTGCTCAAAGCATCAAAATAGTGAGATAAATATGCAAAAGAAAATAGTTTTACAGTAATTGTCAATGGTTCATGTAAGTATGAATTTGGAGGAACAATTAATTTTACAACTACAAAATTGACACTAAATTTTGAGTAGATTTTTTGGCCCACAAACTTTAATAATGTGCATACTAATACTTCCATGTACCAATGATTATCACATTGACAATATAGCCTATATAGATGATATAATATTTTAAATTTGTGCTTTCTATATAAATACTTATAATTAAATATAATATATGTAAAAGACGTACCTTCAGGGAGTTCCACCATTGGTTGTATTTCTGTACCATCAAATCCTTGGATAGACCATTCATATTTTCTGATTGGACAAGGATCACCACTGAAATCCCAATGGCCACTCAGCATTTCAATGTTTTCTTGATAATCCCTTCAGAAAAGAAAAAACACTAACTTGTTTTCATACATGGTGCAAACTTGAATCTTCAAGAAAAGTACATTATCTATGTTTTTAAAAATTCTAACCATGTGAACAGATCAACAGATTTATTCAGACAAAAAATTCAGAACAATTTTGAACCATTTTACCATTTCAAAATTGAATTGAAATAATTCTAATAATGAAAAGAGTGCTTGTGAAACTTACAAGTCTTTATCGGTGTCACCATCCCATACATAACTTTCACCAATAGAGGGCAAACCTTGAGTAATTCGACTGATGAATACACCATTAGACATTGCAATAGACGTCAATCCTGCAGCATTTGTAGCTTTAACAGACACATATCCCTGTTTGACATCAGTTAAATCAAGTCCTGTTATAACTGTGTAGTAAGAATCTAGTGGTACATCCTGATATTCCTGTAGTTGTGTACCACCTGGTGATGTACCAGCAGCAACCTGGTACCTAGGAACAGAATTTTTCAATCAGCAGTTAAGTGAAGTTATGAGACTCTTTTCTTCTTTTCTCTTAAAACGTTCAGTTTCTTAGTTACAAACTGTCCATATAAAAAATAGGTTTTTGTTATTTTTTGTGTAGAAAAAGATTCCCTGGGCATATTCCTGGATATAACCTCAACTTCTTTATTGTGTCAAAAGTGGGGGTGGGCGTTTGCCCGGACATGGGCTCTTACCCGGATAAATGCGGTACTGGTCAATCAGGCAATTTAAGAAGATGATGATGAACATACATGAGAATTCAACTTTCTCTTTACTTTTTAACAAAGTTATTATTTTCTCGTGGCATAACTTGGGACTTAAACCATGTTTCCTGTGATCAGTCAATGAGTATGTGGAGCAGTCTGTTAATTAGTAGAGTGTTCCCCTAATGTCACAAAATGAACTAATCCAATAGAAGACCACTCAAAGTATCAAAGCAATTGGAGTTACAGTAGTAGTTTCAAGAAGTTGAAAATATTTGCTAAAATTACAGAATTTATGATATCGTCGTGAAATATTAAAATCTACTGGGGGTCCACCCAAGGTACACATACATGTTTACCAAGTGTGAAAACAACAGAAATAACAGAAATAATAAAGTGATATAAAATAGAAGATTAAAACTAACCTTATAATAGGTGTATCAGGATCTTGGAAGGGTTGCCACGACAATGAAATCTGAGTTAAAGATTTCTGACAAACAACATCCATATATGCACAGTCTGTGAACAAAATAAAAAAAATATGTTGTGTGATATTCCTTCAAAAGAGAAAATGATATTCATTCTATCAAAATCATTATATGCCTAAGTTTTACTACAATTATTCATATCTTTGATTTCCTTCCTTATTTAGCTTTTTGTTAATAATATGTACATAAAAAATCACTTTATTTCAATCTGTCACTTCAAAACTTTTCATATAAAATATAACATATCAGTTGTTCATAGAAGCAGTCATACAAATACTGGTAATTTGACAATTTAAACCTGTTGTTTGAGATAGTCATCTTTCTAATTTTGAAGTAGTGAGGATAAAGAACCAAATTCATAAAAATATTGCAAAATGATAAGCCTATTTTCAGTTATTTTCCCAGAAGGAAATAGACTCCAGTGATTAGATGCAGAAAATTTTAAGATCACATTAAAAGTGCCACAGGATTAATTGTTTTTACCCAAAAATATTGTAATTACATTCTTGCTGGTCATCATGGTCACTGTTACCATGACTATATAGTGAAACAGTGGAAACAACGATGGGAGAAACAAACATTATTTGCAATGCCGAAACATGTATTGTGCTTCTCAAAAACCATTTGCGTGTATTTACTTTTACTTACATTGCACTTTTCACAATACTGATTAATCAAGAGCCCATGACAACAACAACAATAACAACAACAACAACAAAATATTCAGCAATAAACAAAACAAAATAAACACTATTTATATGGTCATATACAATCATAGATTAAATACCTTCAAATAAGTTTTTAATGCTGCTTTGAAATTAACTGTATTTGAGATGTTTTTATGTTGTTTTGAAGAGCATTTCAAATGTGCATAGACAACTCTATTGCCTCACATTACAAATCAGGATCTTACCTTCACCCAAAGAACACGTTGTAATCTGCTCTGTATTGTCTGTGGTAACATCAATTTCATCAACTCCACTCAACTCAATAACACTTCCTGGTATTGGAGGGGTTCCGTCAATTACAATAGGTAGTGAGAAAGATTGTGATTTCAAACCGACACCATTGTATGCAATGACGGTTGCATAGTATACGCCATTGTGCTGCAGACCACCATTTTGTAAATCTGAAAATGACAATGATACTCATTTTGTTTCAAATAAAACAATTCAGAATTTTGTCATAAAAAAATCATTTGCTAATTAAATTGTATACCCAAATGAACAAGTGTTATTGCTAGTAAATTTTAAAATGAGATGTGTATATGGTCAAAATGACATATTTTATGTGGATAATCCACCATATACAATGTATGCTATTTTTGGTTCTGTATGATTCTATTTGATTCTAGAGATATGTGCGAGGAATAATTCAGTATATGTAATGGTAATACACTGAACATTTACATGCTTTATGATTTTCACAAAGCAAACATTAACATTGTCAGCTCACCTCTAGCTCTATAACTGGTGACATGTGTAGGCAACTTTGTATAAGGGAATCGTGAATCATCTCCTTCTGACGTTCCAATGCCAAATTCATAATGTGATATAAAACTTTCCTCGTCATAGAAATGACTCCATGAACAGAACAGTTCATCAATTGCTACACTGTATCTAGGACACTCTACAGTTCCCGCTATTGGTGGAGATGTATCAACAGTCACACTACCGGATATAGACTCAGTCCACAAACCAACCTATTAACAACAAACATGTTTCAGAATTCTAGCATGTAAATATCTACATATGCTTTGAATTATTGAAATTACAATTCAAGGATTTACATAATTTCCAACATTAGTTTTTACATACACACATGAAACAACAATATATTAGGTTGCAATAGATTCACCTTGTTGAGTGACCTCAATGTGAGAATATTTGGTTTTCCATTTCCCTCTGGTACCACCATACCATTAGGCACACTGTATCCATCAGTGACGTCAGTTATATTGTATATATCATGCGCACCAGAATAACTTCCATAAGAGAATGAAGTGTATATGATGATACTTTCATCTTCAGTTATCTCCCATTCAGCAGCCAAGGAATCCACGGATTCCTGTAATATCAAGAATATCAATTGTTACAAGAAGAACATGACTAATTGATCACAAACACAGATTCCCTCAATGTCTTTTCCCAGTCTACTGTAAAGCACATAATAGATGGGTCTGAATATATGATGATCTTATATGCTGCATCTTGTATTATGATACTACAAAGTCTGCGATATTTAATAATACATGTATATACCATCAAGAATATGAAAGATTAGGAAGAAAGAAGAACCCATTAAAGTTACACAAATTGTGAGTTGATTACAAAAAGACCGATGCACACTAAAATGTTTTGTGTTATTTTTTCCAGTGTTCTAGTTTAAAGAGAGAATAATTTCATGTAATTGCATGCTAATTAAATCTCAAACGTTTCCAGACATCTGTTGTCTTTGATATGATGGCTTTGGTCAGAAATTAGTTTAACTGAAGTACACATAAAAAAGATATAGAATTTTATTTACAAATTCAAAAATCTTAATTTTTCTGCAAATATTTTAATGAAATATTTTT